CACAGATGACTTCTATAAGGTGGGAGCCCATAGTTCAGCCCACATAGTGATTACTTATTAAAATCCTGCTTTTCAATTGCAAGAGAGAACAAACAAAAATGTTTTTTAAAAAATTACATAGAATGCAACAGTAGAAAGTGAGGCAGCAATATGAAAATAAAGAAAACTCAACCCCCTTCTCTCTTGAGCAGAAAATATTCACATAACTGAGGTCATGAAACCCAACTGCCTTCTGGATAATTACAAGCACTTTGAAGAAACCACCTATCTTCAGAAAGACAATAGAAGCTGTTTTTATTTACACACCCTTCCCTTTGTTTTTCAGGCAATGTTTCCCACTAATGAGCATCCAGCTGTTAATGACTTGGGTCTATACCAGAAGTTGAATTCAAAATTCAAGTAATTCTGGCAGATCAAGAACATCAAACAAGAGCTGTAAACCTGAGCAGCATTTTTGCAGTATTCTAAGAGATTACTTTGGTTCATGGTTAATTTACAGGTAAATAAAGTGAGATAAGCCTTAGGCTTCACCAAAAAGTCTTCTGTCTGCCAAAGGTCTGGTTCAGCCCTTTGGAACATGAGATTAAGTCTTCCTCCTCCTCCAAGAGCACAGAAATAAACAGAAATATAAAGCCAGATCAATAGGAACAAAGCATCTGTCAGCAAACTCATCACATTTAACTAATTTAGAGAACTGCTGTCAAGAGTGACTGAACCACAAGAAGAAGCAGAAGCTCTCCCAAGAAACCATTTAATTCTTTCTCTTTGCTCTAAGGCTATCTATTTGTTTCATGAAATTCACTCTTAAATGAATAAAAGCTGCACTAGTCTGAGAACAGGAGAACAGCCAGTCTGTTCCAGGTATTGTTCCTTGGGGACTAAAAGCTGATATGGCCACAGAGTCCTCAGTTCAGGCAGAGAGAATGTATTACCAAATCATTACACTGACCTACAGTGAAAATCAAGTTTTGGAACTTTGGGATAGCAATATCTTGATGGCAACAGGAGAATTATGGATATTAAAGGAGTAAAACAACATGCATTCTTTGACTTTTCTTTATGAACCTGGTCCCATCTGCTTTGTCCTTAAACTTGTTGGATTCTGCCAAAATCTCACTTCACACAGCAAGTGAGATAATAAAGCCAGCAAAGATCTACAAAGCTGAACACCAGAGTCCTGCCAATGCCATCTCAGTGCACCCAGGCTGCTGCAGAGCTGAGCAAAAGCACAAAGCTTCAGAGGGGACAGCACAAAACACACAGCACCATCACCCACTGGCCAAACTCTGCCAGTGCAGAATGAACACAGAGCAGAAATCTGCAATTATTTCCATCCTGCCTGTAAGCCTGCATTGAAAGATACATTTACACTGATGATTGCTGACAGACTCTGCACAGTCCTTAGTCCACTGCCAATGGGATCACTGCTGTTTCCCTGCCAGGCACAGGACTAAGAACTGACAAACTGAACTCTAAAACTAAGGAATGCAAATAAAGTCTTCCTCTCACGCTTTTTAACAGCACAGGAATAGCAATGGTTGCAAATATTTAACAAGAACTTCCAAGTTCCCAACGTGGTTCTCACTGAAACACTTGTTAGACTGAACAGTTTAGTAATTACTTACTTAAGGCAACATTTTATCATTATTTCCCCAGCAAGTCAGCCAATATTTGTATGTCACCACCTGTACTTTCACACAATCTTCTTCACAGAGAAGGATTAAGTGCAGTCATAAAACACCCACCTGCATGGGGGATACAGCAGCAGCTGGGGGAGTTTTCATGGGGCTTGGGCTCAGGGGAGTGCGAGGAATTGTGGCAGCAGCAGGGCTTGGAACTAGGAGGAACACGGAAAGAAAGCCATGGTGAGCACAACACTGCTCTGCAGTGCAACAGGAGACTGCTACAGCCAACCCTCACCTTGTGCTTCACATTACCAGTTCTACCAGATCACACTCTCAGAATTTCAATTAGCAATTGACTGAAAAGTCATTTGAAAGTATGCCTACACATTTACTCCCCTGCAATTACCTTCATTTGCTGTCTTTCCATCATCCTTGGTAAAAGCCTGAGCTGGCTGGGGGTGGACAAGGCTAAGGTGCAGGATACTATTACCTTGGCAGATGTAAATCATGGCATTACTAGCTCTCTGATCTTCACACAATTAAAGAGATAGCAGCAGTTCCTGGCTCTGCTGGTAATACAAGAAAGATAAACTCTATCACCTGCTTCTCCTTTCTAGCTTCTAATCAAAGTCCACGAGCACAAGATTATTATATACCATAAATTTTGGGATTAAACGAGTAACATTTTTAGAAATGTATGAAAACAAAAAAATTCTAAATTGGTGAATCAGTGATCTGATGATTTAACAACATGATCAGACAGGAATGCTGAGGAAGAAGGCAGATATTAGCTTGAAATAAAAGATTCCAAAGAAGGGAGAGGGGATTTGTCATTTAACTAAACTAACTTTGGCAAGAAAGCACCTTCCTCCACTAAAAAATTAAAAAAACTTTCTAAATTAACACTAGAAAAGTAAAAAAAACTGTAAATACCTGTGAAGAACAAAAGCAAGCATGGAAACAGAAGCATTTACAGACTGGTTAAATAACAGAGATGGTTCTGGATCTGAAATTTCCTGGTTCTAAGCAGTGGAAAGCAGTCCATGGACTGGACTGGCTCTGCTAACTTAGTCTGCTTCAGACCAAGCATTTTTACATTAAACTTATGGTGACTTTGTTGGACATGAAAGTCAAAACCCAAAGACCTGGCAATGGAAATACTTTAATCCTCACAAGGTTCAAGGTATGCAACTAAAGGTGACACCCAAGTGTTTCTCATTTCAGAATAATTACTTGGACTCCTTATTCTGATCACCTTTGGAGAACAACACCACTTCCTCCCACAATCAGAATCAGTAAAGTCCATTGTCTCAAGAGTGAGACTCCTTCCATTTTAGAGAATATCTCCTATATCTTTCAATAGGTGATACTGGCTGGATCTTACTTTTAACTGTCATCAGAGCTCTGAGTATAAGACATAAGTTATTAAAAGAAATAAACTCAGCTCTAGCTATTACATGGCTTTTAAAATGCTTAATTTGGAACATTAAGTTCACATTTTAATAATCAGGCTGAAATCAGCTGTGCTCCCAGCTATAATTATGTGTGTCATATGTGTTTATGTATTTCTAATATACAGGAGCACTGAATCAAAGCATCCAGCATATGAGTCACTGGCAATGCGACAGCAAAGGGAAAAATAAAGCCGAGACAAAAAGGGATGCTTGCACTGAAGTGCAGTGAACAATGTGTGCTGCAGTGTAGTAAACCCCTCAGGTTTAGCCAGGGCCCCTTGGAGAATANATAAACAAATCCTTACACCAAAAGGCTGGGAAAGGAACCCCCATTCAGCAAATGGCCAAAAATATTCAATATGTCCTTCATAATGTTCAATGGTAAAGCAGATTTTGCTTTATCCCTCAGGTGAATTATTTTTTCCTCCTCTCTGGTTTGTTGGATTGACATTTTTTGGGCTTTGGGGTTTTTTTCATTTTATTATTAAATAAAATTACACATTTTTTCCTTTCTTCCTCCATGCACTAGGGTCTAAAATGTGCCTTTACATATTGTATTGCAAGATCAGTTCTGACTAACACCACTGAGTAAAAAAAAACTACAATAAAATTAATTTTCTATAGCAACAAATCAAAGCTATTTGAAATATTCCTTCAAGTAAAAACTGCAAACAAAAGGTTTACATACTCCTACGTAGAAACACTTAGATGACACTAATTTGAATATAAAACCTCATGGAAACAAGGATTAAGAAAAGTGAAACCCCATTTATTAATTGAAAATATGACATTCTCATACATTGCTGGAAAGATATATTTTTAATGTATCTGTATGGCTGCAAACAAGAATTCTGTCTGGCACCCTCACTCCTGGTCCTGCTCCTGCATTCACTGATTTGAAAAAAACCACAAAAGCCATGTAAAACATACCATTCATTTTGTGTTTAAGCTTATGTCTAACCCTTATGTCTTACCCTGAACTCTGTAACAATTAAAGAATCCTGTATTATCTTCTTGGAAAGGCATTTCAATATTCCTAAAAATATCAAAGTTTCTAAAATTAAAACTGCAGCTGCATTGTACAAATAGCCTCAATATGGATTCAACAAAAGCAAGAAGGAAATCTGGCACATACAGACTATTATGAAGTGCTACAGAAACAAAAAAAAAAACAAAAACCCAACCCTTTAGAAAACATCAGACCTCAGGAATACCAAATTGAGAGGAAATATTCAGCCTGGAGTCATATGGGGATTATCTTGAGAAACATCTACACACAAAAAGCCCCTGAAGCAGGCATAAATCAGAGAACTACACCCAACACATGATAGCCATTCATTCTCACAGGAAGAGCACATTGTGAACAGTGTTTTGAGAGACAAAACAAAGTTCACAGAACAGGGGAATATTGGGAAATAGATAAATCAACACTCAATTCCATTCAATTTTTCATCTGGCTGCTGAAGGTTCAATACTTAATTAGTTTATTTTATTATTCACGTGCAATACAATGCCAACCATCATTTTTTGTTGCATTTTGGGGGGTTAAAAACCTGTAACCCCAGAGGTTGGGTTTTTTAATATCTGGGACAGCTGCAAGATATGTCCCTGAAATTATCTTATCTTGATTTTACAAGTGATCTTAGTTTATGCATTCAGTAAAACTTGTCAGAATAGTACCAAGCTATCAGCAGGCAATTGTGGTTCTGCTGGAAATTCAAAAAAGCATCTTTGTTACTCACCACATGTGATGGAGCACAAGTACAAAGAACTTACACATGAGATAGACTATGGTTCTATTAAGATATTTTGATAATAAAAATATGTAACATGCTAATGCTTTGGATACTAAATAATTTTTTAAAAAAAAGCTATTAATAGCAATGCTAAAACCAAAGATTAAATGAACTTGAATCAGTACCTTGAACAGGAATTTCTGCATAGCTTGGTCTTTTGTCTGTCAGTGTAGCAAGGGGTTTTGAAGCTGAGATTGGCCCACTTATGGAATGCCTCTGAAATGGAAAAATACTTCTGTCAGACATAACTAGAAGGTAAAAAAAAACAAAACAAATATGGAATTGCAGAATTAGCTTTAGTAATTCAGATATGACATTATTACTAATTTTAAAGAACTACAATAATAAAGGAACCTTTGAAATTTTTGCCTTCTTTACTTAAAAAACCTTTACTTTTTCCAATCTGACTATGCCTTGAACCTGTAACATTTACTTTAAGCTGAGTCCTGTTCCTCAGACCAATGTTAAAAATTAAGGCTGTGAATGCTCCTGCAGTTGGTGTATTAATTCTCACCTTCATTTCCATTTTGTTTGAACAAACCTGTTCTGGTTAAACTTGATGTGTTTATTTAAACCCACAGAACCCCCTACACAAAGCCAAGGTTTCAGTGCATGATCTGTGTTATTAACATAAGCTTTCACAGCTTTGTGCCTCTTCCTGGAAATCTGGGAGAATGGTGCAGTGGGTACAGTGACCCAAAGCACTCTTTGATAAGAAAAACACCACTGAAAAAATGGGTTTTATTCAGAATGTCAAGAGCTTTTGTTCCCACATATTTAACTGAGATGCTCAGGGAACAAATGGGGAGACACATTTTATTATTTGTCAAAGATGTAATAAAACACAAATTTTTTTTTTGCCTTCTCAAGTCACTTCAATTTTTGTTCTCCTCTAAAGAGCTATGAATTGAGCATTTAGTTTTCAAGTTTTATATAAATATTTAGCAATATATGGCTTTTAGCAAGCACAAGATCACAGCTGTGTTCAGGCTTGTACACACAATTCAGTAAGCACTGAAAAGGACTAAAATAAGCATTTTAGTCTCACACAGTGAATTGTACAAAGCAATAATTACCCTCAGAGTTACTGAAACAGATTCAGTTGCTGAACACTCATGGAGGATCGCCCACAATTCTTTCAAATTAATCATTTCAAAGAGCCTATTGCAAATTACAGTTCATTCTTTATTCACCCTGTCCTTTCTATTAGATTCCAATATTTAATCATAATCAGTCCACTAATGTGTTTATCCTGAAAACTCTTTCAGGTCTCCATCTGGCCCAAGGTTAAATGAGTCTTATCTTCACAAAATACTAAAGGTCAGATGTTTCTCACACCAAATTATGTAGGCAAGAGAGACAAATGCAGAATTGTGATTAAAATGAGTTAACAGTATATACTTTACAGCACCCCACAGCACAGGCAGGATTACAGGGCTACTTATTCATCAGTTAGAGTCAAACTGGAGTTTTGCTTTTGTGCTAGAAACCAAATGGAGAGAACAAGTGCCAAAGGACAGCATGAGGAATTTCATCACTTCATATACCCAGTGTCCTGTGTACACACACAAAGATTGTACCTTTAAATGTGCAGGTGTGTGACTGTGAGCCATGCACAGAAATGCCCACAACAGCTTCCCCTCAGAGCTGCCATTTCACACTGACATCATCTACTTTAAAAAACCCCAAAAATCTCCTAACTAAAGGCTATGAACTGTACCAAAGTGAGCCATTTCAATGCCTTTCCCACCCCAGGAAACAGCTGAAATATGAGGCTAAAATAAAAATATTTCATTTTGGGTAGCTTTGGGACTGGCACTACAGAGACAGGGGAGTACAGAGCTTCAGCCAAGAAACACAGGTATGTACAGAGCTGGATAACCATCTACATTTATCCCTGAAAACCAAATATCCTTTATGGAAATTGTCAGAAAGTGGCTGCATCACTCAGTTGACAACTTGCTGTACATTGCTCGTCTCTTTGCAATAAATCAAATTGTTGTCTCTGTTCCTGTTGGCACAGCAGACAGGGCTCCCTTGCACTGTTTAGTCCCTAATTCCAAATCTCACAGCTACCAGCACTAACACAGGGACTGATGCACTGCAAACCAGAGGAACATGGACCAACTGATGCTTATCTATTTTCACCTGCCTTCATCCATGTAGCAGTGCAAAAGTGTCTGGGAGAGGCTTTAAATTTGAAACAGAACTATGGCAGGATGAACTAATCCCTTCAGATATTTGGCTTCTGACTTCTCATCCTTGTGTCTGTTGTCAGCTATGGAAGGAAACACAACCATCACCACTATCCAGGGACCTCCTCCTGATCACTTTGCACTTCCTGCCAGTGCACCTGCACACGGCCATTGCAGAACAAACAGCTCTTCACATATTGACCACTTAAGATATAGGAAGGCTTGGACACTAAACTGCCTGGACCTTGGAAGTTGATATGCTCAAATCAAAACAGGGCATTCAATGGTAACCTGTAAATCTGAAACCATGT